CCGGGTCAGGGGTGTTCCCTGGCACTGAGTGCCCACTGTGGTTGCAGTGCAGCGGCGGCTGCGGGCAGGGCAGGATGATCCGGCACGTGTACTGCAAAACCAGCGACGGGCGCGTGGTGCCCGAGTCCCAGTGCAACCTGGACACCAAACCCCTGGCCATCCACCCCTGTGGGGACAAGAACTGCCCCTCGCACTGGCTGGCACAGGACTGGGAGCGGGTAAGTGCAGATCCTGTGTTTTGGGGTGCCCTGGAGGGGTCAAGCTGGGGTGTGCAGCTCTCAAGGGGCCCTGCTCATGACCCCACAGTGCAACACGACCTGTGGCCGGGGTGTGAAGAAGAGGATCGTGCTCTGCCTGGAGATTGTCAATGGCAAGATCAAGACCCGCAGCCCCTCTGACTGTGACGTGGCCAAGAAGCCCGTGGAGGAGAGCACGTGCTTCGAGAGGCCCTGCTTCAAGTGGTACACCACCCCCTGGTCTGAGGTGAGCTGGGAGGGGTCCCCAGGGCTGTGCTGCCCCATCCCTTTGCACCAAGGGTCCCTCTGCCTGCAGAACCCCCAGGAGATGGGTGAGTCCCTGCAGGATGTTGTCCCTGAGGGTGTTTTTGCTGCATGGTGCAGCTGGGGCTGTCTGTGCTCAGGGAGGTCAGGATTGACAGGGGCTGTTTGAGGCCAGATGTAGCTTTATTTTTTCTTTATTTTTTTCCCTCATGCCTGGAAATGTGGCTTGGAGCCCACAGGGTTGTTGCCCCTAGGATACAGAATTTGGGGATGCTCCATCATCCTGCACAACCCAAAAGGCAGCCAGGCTCCAGGGGGCTTCCTCCAAGCCCTCCTGGATGCAGCCTCCCTGATCTGAGCTCCAAGAGCCTCATTTTTAGTCTTGCAAACCCTATAATTAACCAAAGCAGCCCTGCTGCCATCCCAGCTCCATGAGGCATCCAAAGGGCAGCAGGCAGTGAGTGCTGGGCCCAGCAGTGGCTCCACACCCCCCATGGATGAAGAGAGACCCCACAACCCCACTCCTGGTTCTCTGGGGGGCTTCATGGCCATCCATGTCTTGCAGAGCATCACCTGGACTGGGCCAGCTGGTTTGTGGTCCCCTTTGAAGGGCAGCAGCAGGAGGAGGGAGGGTGTCAGAGCCAAGGGATAGGACCACATCCACCTCCCCTGGGCAGAAGTTGATGCTGCTGGCAGCAAAGACAGAGCGAGGGGACAGCGGTGTGGCACTGGGATGTGACATTCTCCTCCTGCCCTAACATCTCCAGCGAGCAGATTCTGGCTCAGAACAGTTCCCTGGCATGGCAGGGTCTTGCCTCACCCTTTCTCTCTGTCCCCCAGTGCACAAAAACCTGTGGGATTGGCGTGAGGATGCGGGATGTGAAGTGCTACCAGGGCAAGGACATCGTGCGGGGCTGCGACCCACTGGTGAAGCCGGTGGGCAAACACACCTGTGACCTGCAGCCCTGCCCCACAGAGCCCCCAGGTGAGCCCCACAGCCTTGGTTTGCCATGGATCCCTCCAGCAGCACTGCCCCATTTGGATAATGATCCCAGGGAGGGTGTCAGGGACAGCTCTCCCTCTGTGCCCAAGCAATGCACAGGCTCCTTCTGGAGATAAATTAAGAGGAGAGCTCAGAAGAATCATGCTCTGACCTGAAGATAAAAGGGGCCTTCGGAGAGCTGATTTGGGTGCTGCTTCTGTAAGATTCCAGCTAGAGCTGAGGAAGTTCTGTCTGTGCCATTATTTTAATGATTTTTGGTCTTTGGATGTCCTGTGGGATTTGTAACTATCTCGTTATCTGGCTCGTCTGCTGGCTCAGAGTCCCTGTGATCTTTAGCAAACACACAGTTCTAATCCTTTAATAGGATTTGGGAATAAGGACAGTGTGGGAGAAAAGCATGAAAATGGGTGACAGATTTGGGGCCAGCTCCTGGCTCAGCTCTGGGTGCTCTCAGCTGCCCACTCCCTTGGGATCCATGGAGCTTGGGAGTTGCCTCATGGCCACCTTGCCCTGAGATGTTTCATGCAATTTCAATCTGGTTTCAATCAGATTTCAATCTGGTTTCATGCATCCTATGGATTTGAAGCAAAAAAAATATATATAAAAGTATAAATCCTATGGGTTTGAAGAAAAATATTGCACTGAAGGAGTTGGAAGAGTGCTGAAGCAGACTCATCCCTTTCTCCAGCATCTCACTTGTCCCTGACTCTGGATGTGGCACTGCTGGATTCCCATTCCCTTTCTCAAAAAGCCTCCTTGGGATAGAAATGGTGAATCTCTGCCAGGGGAAGCCCTTGACCTGGGGACAACTCAGTGCCTTGGTGGCTCCAGCAGTCCCTGGGCAGCTCTGTTTTACAGCAGAGACATTGAGCTTCAGGGCTGGGACCAAGTGAGACTCCCCAAGGTGTCAGGTGGGAAGGAACAGCTCAACCTGCTCATGCCTTTGGCCAGGCTGACAATGACATTTCTGGACAAGCTCCATGGTGCATGCCAGGGGATGTCAGGGAGGTGGCAGCCACAGCTGGGCTGATGTTGTTGCTCATCCCATGGTGCTTAAAGCTGTGTAGGGTGGGAAAAGACCTCATGAGCTCACAATTGTTTATTTTCTTCTTCTTTTCCATGCCATGCCTTGAGAAATAGCACTCTGGGAGACAGGGTACCAGCCTGCTCACACCTGCCAGCAGCCACGAGACAGTGGCACCAAAACTGGCACAAATAAAGCTCCAGCAACATTTTAGTTCTGGCTGGGAACAGCAGGAGAGACATAAATTAAGGGAGAAATCCTACCCTGACCACCTGCTCTCCAAGTGCTTTAACAAAGGTTAAACCAAAAACCAGCCACCCCAGCCCTAAATTACTTCAGCACCCGAGGAAATTCAGCTCGGGATTGTCAGGGGATTTAACCTGTGACCCCTGTGCCATATTTTCAGGCACTTCATGTCCTGCTAAAGTGTATTTTCTCTCCCTGCAGATGACAGCTGCCAGGACCAGGCAGGAACCAACTGTGCCTTGGCCATCAAGGTGAACCTGTGCAGCCACTGGTACTACAGCAAAGCCTGCTGCCGCTCCTGCCGTGCCCCCCACTCCTAGGGCAGGGCTGCCCGAGCCAGGGCTCCTCCTTCCCCTGCCCTCACAGCCCAGACACTGCTGACAAGGATGCTCTTGGCCTGGTTTGTGTGTCCCCACCGAGGCAGGACTCTTCTCCAGGCTGCTGGACGTTGGGAGCCCCCTGGGGTCAGAGCTGTACAGAAATCTTGTATATTTGATTCCCCCCCCCAAAATCCAGCTACACCCAAGGTCCTGTCCTGTTTCTCCCCTCGGTGCAAGGTTGGGGTTGGCAAGGGGAAGGTGTGAACTCTGGGAAGTGCAAGTTTCCCTTCCCAAAATGGGCTTGGTGGTGCCTCTCCCCTGATTTTTCCTGAGGCTCTCCTTAGCTGAATTAACGTGGTGGGAAGCTGTTTGTTAAATAAACTCAAGCCCTTTTTTGTAATATGTAGGTGTATACTTTTTCAGAGAATTTTATCTTATAATCAAATGTTAGTTTCATAGTCCTTACAACCCCTCCCTGATGCTGACATATTGTATATAATATGGAAACATAACTGCACTTTATATCACAAAAAAGATGTGCTCTTTTTTAATATATTTGTTTACAGACAGTGAACTTTATCCATATAATCATTAATTTGTACTCATATGTATATTTTAATAAAGTTGTCATATTTATGGTGGTATTTTGTTTTATTCTCCAGTTTGTAGTGGAGTGCTGGGAGCACTGGAATTGGGGCTGGGGATTTGCTGGTGCCATGGGGAGGCAGAGCAGCTTTAAATCGGCAGAATCACAGCTACTTGGACAGTGATGGAAGGAGAAGTCCCAACAGTGGGGGGATTTTGGGACTTTTGGGGGCCCTTTGGAGTTCTGTGGCTTTAGAAGCTGCAGCCCTGAAGCTCCTCAGGGGTTTGGGGACACAGAGATTTTACACAGCGACAGTAAGAAAAGAGTTTTCTGAGGTCCCAAGGGGTTGTTGCTCTGTGTTTTTATTGGTGTGACCCCCAGACACTGAGCCAAAGGCTCTTTAGCATCCCCCCAAATTTCTGTGTGCACCCCCAAGTGCTGCTGTAACCCTCTCTCAGCAGCAGGGAGCTCCTCAGCCCTTTCCAAACATCACCCCAAATTTGCAGATGCAGCGACAAAAAAAAAGGAAAACAAACAACAAACCTCAAAACCCATGTCAAAGTAATTTATTTCTTTTTCTTTTTTTTTCTTTTTTGACTTTTTCCCTCCCCAAAATCTGAGATTCCCAAAGTCCTGTACAACAGATCACCAGGTGAGGGTTAGTGAAAGCCAACCATTTGCTGAATTTCCAAGCTACAAGGGAAAGAAACAAGGAAGAAAAGGAGGAAAGGAAGGCTGGTAGGAGAAATCACAAAAAACAGGAAGAGAAGGGCTCAAGGCATGGGAACAAACCCCAGTGAGAACTGTACATGGGGGCATGGCCTGAGTGGCTGCATCCCTCTGGGATGTGCTGGGCCACAGGGACCGAGCCCGGAATATTAAACACGTAGGAAACCAACCCCAGCCCTCCCCACCCCAAACAGAACCCTCCCCCAAGAAAGTCAAAGATATTCATTTGCAAAGACTGACTTGTACTTCAAAAGGTTTCCTGTGGAATTAAAAGCCCTCAGTGGTTTGAAGTAAAATACCCAGCCAGGCTGCAAAGTGTCCATGAGCCCCGAGGGCTGCAGCCATGGCTGCTTCTTCCCAGAACATCTTTAAAAAGGAAAATTTCCCTGGAGCACAGCCCTGAGGCCATCTGAGTCTCTGTGCAGCCAGTCCATCCTCGCCAGCCATCCCCAGGTGATGCTTTTAACCTGAATAATGCCCAGTCCAGGAGAAACAGGGAGTTCTGTCACGTGGAGGGGAGGAATGGAGACAGCCAGGAGAAACCAGAGCAGGAGGCCCCTCAGAGCTGCAATTCCTCTCCTAAATCTCTGAGTAAGCCCAAGGGCTCCCTTGCAGCACATTTGGTGCAGAGGGACCAGCTCTGAGCCTGCTGCTCCCCCAGACTGTCCCTGCTGCATCCAGATGGGACAGAGCTGGTGCCACAGCCAGGCTGCCCAGCCATGGCAAATGGCTCAATGCAAAATGCAAATTAGAGGTTTTGATTAAATTTAAAAGTGCTTTGGCACTGTCTTGGATGGGAGGAAAATGTCTTTTTTAAAATTTTTGTTTAAAAAACCTCTCCCAAACAAATAAATGTGTAAAAATGTGCGTGCAAGGGATGGGCACACACACGGTGACCCCTGTGCCATGGAGCCCTCAGCCCGAAGTTGTGTGTGGCGTCACTTGGAGCAGGGATGTTGATTATCCCCAGGGATATTCCTCCATCCCAAGATGTGCTGTGGGTCATTTCCATCACTGAATAATGTAGAGGTTTTACATCCCCAGCCCAGCTCCTTCAGGGGATCCATGAGGCCACTCTGGGGGGCTCCAGGGACAGGCCCAGACACCATCCTAAGCCTGAGGGGATTGTGCCTGGCACCTGGGATTGTGCCTGGCACCCGGGATTAGTGCCTGGCACCCAGGATTAGTGCCTGGCACCTGGGATTAGTGCCTGGCACCCGGGATTAGTGCCTGGCTGGGGCAGTGAGATGGGCTGGGGACGGTGCAGGCCTCACACGCACAGCCATCTCCATGGCTGCAGCAGGGAGCAGCACAGCACAGGCTGGCAGAAGGGTGGGCAGTGACATTTTGGGGTGGCTGAGTGTATCCTGGGGTCCCCAGGTCACGCCAGCAGCTGCTGCTGACCCGCAGCACATTTTCAGCCATTTTCAGCCACCCATGAGCCCCATCATTTCCTCATCACCCCTGGCCAAACGGTGAGGAGGGACAGCTCCTCCATAGAAAAGGATGCTCAATATCAAAATCCTCTTTATAAAAGAAAATAGCAAACTCTGCAGAGCTGGGAAACCTCTCATTCCAGCTGCACCCCCACACTCCTCACCTGAGTTTGCTCTGCTCCCCCTTTATAACGCCAGCCCGAAATACATTCACTTTTTTTTTCACTTCATATTTTTTTGTTTTGTTTGGTTTTTTTCCCTATTCAAAACTCCTCCACAGACTCCAACCAGTCCTCCCCGCTGCTGTCCAAAGCCCTCGGGGCTGAGTGGGCGGGTGGCACCTCAGACATCTGTGCTGATGCTGCGGCTGCGGGAGAACGCCTCCCGCATGGCCGAGAGCCGGTTGGGGTTGAGCGCCTGCAGGTTGGACACGGGCAGCGCCAGATCCTCCTGGCTCACCGTCTTGTAGCTCACCCTGTCCCCCCCGTTGTGCAGATCCTCGGGGGGCTCCTGCAGGAAAAAGGTGGGGGGCTCCTGCAGGAAGGAGCTGGGGGGCTCCTGGAGGAAAGATGTGGTGGGTTCTTGGAGGAAAGATGTGGTGGGTTCTTGGAGGAAGGAGGTTGGGGTTTCTTGGAGGAAGGAGGTTGGGGGCTCTTGGAGGAAGGATGTAGGGGGCTCCTGCAGGAAGGAGGTGGGGGGTTCTTGGAGGAAGGAGGTTGGGGGCTCGTAGGGAGTGCAACTGGGGCAGCTGGGCCGGCTCTGGGCTGGTTTTTTGGCGAAGGGGGATGAGGAGTAGAGCGAGGGGCCGTTGGTCAGCACTACGTTGCGGTTGCAGTGCAGCGGAGGGATGTGCGAGTGCACGGCGAAGTCGGGCTCCTCCTCGTCCTCCTCGGATTCATCCTTCTTGCAGCAGTAGTACTGAAACGGGAGGGGCTCAGCTGGCACCCCCAAAGCTGCCAGGCCATCAGCCCTCCCCGCTGAGGCACCCCCAAGCCTTACCTGGAGCCTACAGTAGCAGAGGACGGCGATGATACAGAGTAAAATGACAGTCGCTAAAATTCCACCTGTGATGACCACGGTCCCGGCTGTCATCCGCCCTCTTCTCCATTAACAGCCTGCAAAATTGGGTATACAGATAAGGGGCTGGGCTGCAGAACCCCAAACTCTCTGCTTACCCCACTTTGAAGTGGGTTAAAAAGCAGGTGGGCTCTGAAGGGCACAATCAGGATCCAGTGGGCACCCATGGGAAGTCACCAAGGAATCCCCAGAAACGCCACCTTGTAAGGGTTAAAAATATTTCATGCTGAGTGAGAAGCAGCTCAGGGGTCACATCAGGAAGGAAAGCCAAGGGAAATAACACCAGGCACCAAGGGCACTCTCCCAGCTCCTACCTGGTGGCAGAAAGCTTCCGTGAAGGGAGAGGGAGCCTTGCCATAAGGATTTCTGATCTGCACTCATTTTTCTCTGAGCCTCTAATCCATTTTCCCCATGAAAACAATGTGGTATTTGAATTTGGAATAACCTCAGCTGCTAAGCGAGCCTTTAATGACTGCAGGGAGTGGGGTGCTGCCCTCCCTGAGAGCAGGACCAGTCTGAGGCACCAGGATCCTCCACTTCACCACAGCCAAGCCACAGTCTTGGGGGGCTCTGGGGACACCCCAGGATGATGTTTGACAGCCCCAGGTGAGCTGTCAGTGGACATCACAGAGATGCTGTGGCTCAGCATCATTTTGGAGTACCACCAGCACTCTTCTCTCCCTGGAACAGCCCTTGGGAGCTGGGACAGCACAGGGAGCAGCAGAAGGTCCCTGTCCTTGTCCCTGGGCTCTCCAGATGTTGTGTACCATGCACAGCACAAGCCCTGCAGGATCAGACACAAATTTTGCCCCAGGAAGGATGCTGGGCAGACAGGGTACCAGCCTGCTCACACCTGCCAGCAGCCACGAGACAGTGGCACTAAAACTGGCACAAATAAAGCTCCAGCAACATTTTAGTTCGGGTTAGGAACAGCAGGAGAGACATAAATTAAGGGAGAAATCCTACCCTGACCACCTACTCTCAAAGTGCTTTAACAAAGCTGGCTCCCAGCTCGTGCTATCAGGTTAAACCAAAAACCAGCCACCCCAGCCCCAAATTACTTCAGCACCCGAGGAAAAGCAACTGTATCTGTCAGGGATTTAACCTGCTTCCAAAGCAAACAAAGCTGGGCCATATTTTCAGGCACTTAATGTCCTGCTAAAGTTGGGTGAGTGCTGAATGGATAAAGCAGCATCACGTTTTTATGGTGCTGCTGAGCAGCTCGGGAGGAGGGAAGGGAATTCACACCCCTCTCACACCCCATGGCCATGGGGCAAGAGCAGGGCTAAATCCTGCCCTCATTCCTCGGGGAAAATGCTCTGAGGAGGCTCGGGGTGAGCAGCACAGCCACGGGAAGGGTTTGCAAATGATGCATCAGTGATTTAGAAACTGGTTGCTGTTTGAAGAGGGATGGAGGCGCCTGGCTGGGCCAGGTGCCAGCTGGAAATGCCCATCCCTGGGCCCTTTGCTGCTCCCATTTGCAATCCCCTGGAGCCAAGGGCAGGGGGAGCAGGGCTGGGACAGGAACCTGGCTCTGGGGTGGCCACTCAACCCTGCAGGACCTGGAGGATGGGAGCTGCATCCATCACAGAGCATCAGCATCTCCCTGCTGGCCCGAGATGGGAGATGGCAGGCAGAGCTCTGCCAGGGAGGGCTCTCTGGCTCTTCCACCCATTAATTAAAGCCCCGGGGCACAAGCCAGGGCTGCAGGAGCCGATTTCCCTGGTTCCTGTCCAGCCGAGCCCAGCCAGACGTGGCATCGCAGCCACTGCTCCCTCCCGAGCTGGACCATTTGCATTTCTGCCTTTTCCCCT